AACAATCATACCTGTGTTTCATTGTGTCTGGTTTCCATTATAATGTTCATCCACTTGAAAGTAGTTTTACTTGATTCTGCAGTTTATAATTAATCCTGGTTAATCGTCTACTGGGTCTTAGTCCTTCAGTTCATCCTCTGTCTGAAACGAGTTGTTTCAGAGACTCTCCATTTAAATAAACCTTCGTCCAATTGGTTACCCTTCACAAATAGAAAATGTGAAAAGCAGGTGTGTGGGGCTTCTGTGCAAGAAAAAAAAAAGCCATCTGCTTGAGACGCCCATGTTAAGAAAATCCACCCTTACTAACATTAAAAAGAAAGTTGGGGAAAAGAAACTGAAATATACAAAATGTTATGTGTGTCATTCAGGGAGACACACATCTCAGTGTTTAACAAAAATCATAACCTACAAACAAACGGAACCATCATACCCCTGACTTAACCTTTGTATTAGACATTTCCTGTTACAAAGACCTAAAAATAACATGCCACTAAAAATAAAATGGTCTGCCAAAATGAACAGTTTTCTAAAATAAGAGTCTTGCTTCACTGCTGATATTCACAATGACTCTTAACAAGCAGGATATGGAGATAAAATAGAAGGAAGGTCAGCATGATATGCTTCGCCACTGGCACCCAAAGAGCTCTATAGGCACAGGTGGGTCACCGCTCGAGTGTGTTTGTGTGTATGTGTGTGAGAGTCTGACTGTTGCTGTTTGTGGCGACTTGAGGCCTGGGGTTTGTGTTGGGAAAGCGGATGCGTCTGAGGCGGCAGGAAGCCCTGCCCTGTCTTTCCCATGGAAAGAAGGAACCAAGAGTTTGCTAGTACAACACCTAGCTGCAGCTCCTGGGCTGATACTTGGTTAATGTCTGTTTGCGTTTTAGATTTTCAGTTTTGCCTTTTCAAACATGTGTAATGTCAGCTGACTGGTTAATCCTTCTTAAAAACGGGATCATTCCCTTTGTAGTTTATTTTATTGAATCCACTACCTCATTTAACCTTCAGTGAAAACAAATGTCTAGTCCCTACAGTGTGCATTAAATCAAAGGAAAAGTAACTACAGACTTCACTTTTATTGGTACAAACACAGATCATAGCACACACCGATTAAAAAGTCATTAAAAACACCTCTACTGTGCATACTTAAAGTTAATAAAAAAGGTAAAGGAGACTACACCAGGTAATAAATGTAGCAGCAAGCAGGCCTGTAAACTATGACAGCCATTAACTGCCATTTTTACAAATTCAAACATGCTTGCTGCTTTGTTGGGTCCTTTTTCAAAACACTTTTGTGTTCAAAATTGCAGAATTGAACTTGCACTTCCAGCAATAACAAGTTAAAATCAAAGCTGGAATTAACTGTGGGGTTAACTTATAAATCCTTATAAATTTGCATAAAATATACCATCTCATGGCCCTGAAAACAGCTTCAGAAAAAGGTCAACTATCTTTCTATTACTGATTAAAAAGCCTTTGATTCATATCTGGATCCAGTGAGCAAACTCGGCGACTTATCCATTCAGCTCCTTTCGCCATACTCCATTGTTTGCTCTCACCTTGAGAACACAGAACAGCCATTTTCACCTCCTCCCTTGCATCTTTCTAGAGCTTCTTTTTCACACTGATATTGCTGAAGCTGATTGCAGATATACACGAGAAGACTGCGCTGTAGGGCAATATCACCTCACAAGACACAAGTGAGGAGGATGTAGACAAAAAGTGGGTCACAGGCCTGAGGCATTGGAGCTGTCCCTTGTGGCAAGTCATGGTCTTATAGTGCTGTTACACACCATTACTGCTCTTCTACTGCTTCCTGGTGAAAAAAAGGAGCTCTAACAGTTAAACCAAGAAGCAGGCTAAACAGACACTCAGGACTTTTCATGCACGGTTAAGCTTTCTCTCTGGGGCATCTGGCTGAACAGCGGGAAATCTGGGTTAAGGCAGATGTATGAGACGCAGGACTAAGGTGACTACTGGTAGAAAGCTTATGGTTTAAGGATATTATTATTTGGCCCAAGTCCCACTAGAAAAAAAAAATGGGTTAAAGGCTACACAATCCATCTTCTGCTGTCAGATCGGAGCCAAGGACGTAACCACATCCCTTCTTTCATTTACCAGCTTTGGTTTAAATGAGTCAAGTGTCGTAATATTACATTTTTTAAATGTTAAATGTTTTTTTAAATGAATTATAAGATGCAAATTCTTTATTGATATAAACAGAGCCACATTACGAACTAATAAAACTTACAGCAAGCTAAAATGCATTAGAACAAACAAACAAGGGTTTAACACAGTAATCATTTTATTTTTATCTTTGCTTTTCTGTTGCCTCTGGGCGTCTTTTATTCTCAGATTCATTATGTGAAGCTTTCTATTATAAATAAGGACTACAAACCAATAAGAATGGCACCTGTGCAATGAGAAACCTCCTATTTCCAAAGGTTTATCAGCAAGCATCTTAATACACATATATAAAAACAGGCAAAGAAGGACATGAAGCTGATGTCCCATAAGTATGAATGATCTAAATTATAGTTTAGAGTGTAGTTTTTATGTTTGTCTTGTTTGAAAAACCATTTCCACGCAGTCAAGTGTGATTTTACAGTCAGGTAGCTTTTCTCAGAAGGCAATATGCAAACTTCAGTTAGCTTTGTAAAGTTTTAATGCTCTCCAAGCTCTATAGAAATAGCAGTTTCTTAAATAAGTTAAAGAGGTAAAACTATATACTCTTCAGATACTTTATTACCCTAGTGGTATTGCTAATTCTGTTAAAAATGTTGCAGTTTGTTGTCATCCATGACTCACCTATAAAGTAATTTGTGCTGTTGTGTCTGAATGTGTCCCATGGAAGAGCAATTCAGTTTCATGTGTTTTTGTAGTTTTCAGGTCAAACCCTGCTTGTGCAAACAAAGTAAGCACTTTCTCTAGATAAGTGGCAGCTAATGAAGCATGTACTTCCAGAATCTTTGGCTCCTGGATTGAGGATCTGCACCTCTAAGTCAAAAGCCACTGAACATTTGACAGTCAACTGTCGTATTTACACTGAGAGTAAATTGTTCCCCTTGTGCAGAGTTAAGTACTATATCTAAGGCAATATCCACACACGGAGCTATTAGCAGTTGTGTGGCAATCAGAGCCCATAGAATATCAATTACATTGAGCAATTTCAAGTGACAACGGGAGAAATAACCCCCGGGCAAAACGATATGGGCAGGTACAGAGGTAAATTTTTCCCATCTTAGAGCAATCGAAGTGACTACCAATGAGAACAAAGGATATGCAGCAGTCGATTGAAAAACACATGGGTGGCAAATGCATTAAAGGCTTAACAAGGCAAATAGAGCCTGGAATGTCCAGTAGCAACCAACTGTCACAATATTTAAATATTGACAGGCCTTAAGAGGTGAGGCCTGTCCAACAAGAAAATGAATCCATAACATGTGGAATACATGTGAATAGGTGGATAATCCACATAGTGAGGGAAAACCCTTGGGATCCTTCAGAAGAAGCTAAAAGGAAAGACTGTGAACCAGATACACCCTGAAACATCATGAAATATCATGAAAACCCAGGTTATCAGTTAACCTTACAGTTTAATTGTATTTATTTATGCAGTACTGTCAAGACCTTTTAATAATCTTGGTAAATGAAATTTCTATTAACTACTGTAATTTCCCCAGGAGGCCACTTATCAAATAACCGCAAATCTTGGTAAATGTGCACGCTTATGAAGCAGATGAATAACTGTGCACGTCGCCACAAACTCATCTTCATAAGAATTTTAGAAACAAGCTGAAAAAAATGTATTCAATAACGCATCTCATAGCATTCTGACTACAGTCTCTTCTAGTCTACTGTTGCCTTTGATAAAAAAAATCTGTCTTTCAAATCTTTGACTAGTTCTTCTGAAAGACAACATCCTGCTGAGAAGAAAATGCTATGCACACTTGCACAAAAATGCAAAACAATCCAGGGTCTATTTGATACATGCCCCACGGGGAATAACCCATTTTGCAATATCCACATGGGGTAGAGAAATGCAGGTTTGGGTTTACTGCTTCTTCCCTCTGTGGCACTATTTTTCAGAAGAACTTCTCTTTGGGGTCATTAGGAGAACAAAATGGGGCTGAAATAACCCGAGACTTACCTCAGGGCATTATGGCAGACTGAGAGTTGGAATTACGGCTTTGACGCAAATGTGTGATATTTCTCTTACAGAGCCCCACTAAAGTTCAGACATTTATTGCCACTTTCCCTGTATAATTTCATGGCACTGCTTTCTTCAAAACAAGGTGTGTTAAGGTTGACGATCCTCCAAATACAATGCATTTTTAAGAGAAACCAGATCATTGTGGTGTAAAAATACCAGAGAAGTCAGATGAGAGGAAATTGGTTTGGATGTTCAGGAGCAATCTAGGAACCAATAAGGCTTAAGCCTACCATGGTCTGGAAACTGCCGTTTTACATAGCCAGAATGACAAGAGGTATGTGTGGAAGACTAAAGGCTTTTAAACTTAAGTACACTGGACCGACTGCCAAGCATGGTGGTGGTAGCATCTTGCTCTGAGGTTGTTTTACTGCCTGTAGTACTGATACACTGCATAAGTGGATGGAATAATCAAAAACGAGAACTGCCTCCAAATTCTTAAAGCTTTGCTCAACAGTTAGACAACTGAAACTTGCACACAACTGGAATGATGCTAAACACACATCAAAACAGGTTTTGGAATGAATAAAGCAATCTAACATTAAACTTTGGAAATGGAATCCCAAAACTGAGTCTATCCCAGTGACGTTACAAATGTTATTGCTCCGACTTGTGAAATTATGAATTCTTATAAAGCAACAAATCTTGTCATGATCTAAAGAAACCTGAGAACCAGTAAGAACCAAAGTCATTGACATCTATCAGTCTGGAAAGGATTACAAAGCTATTTTTAAGGCTTTGGGACTCAGGCAAACCACAGTGAGAGCCATTATCGACAAATGGAAAAAAACTGCCAATAATGAGAAAACTTCTGAGCACGGCTTTATGTTTAAAACAAGCTCTCGAGATTGAATAACCTCTCCTGACATAAACATGCATGTTATACAGTTTCTCAACAATAACAATGCTGTGTGTCAAGGTCTCATTTCAGGCTACATTAATGTTTTCTTACCTCTTCTGTGTAGTCTGGTATTATTTATTAGCCATTTAGTTTGCCAATAAGATGTATTGAGTAAATATACATGCAAGTACAGGACAGGAGCAGTAAAAGTAAATTGAAAGTGTTTTTTACCTGTCATGGGTCCGCATGAAGTCCCACGATTTCTTTGTGCCATTCTGCGTAGAAATAAGATGACAATAAAACACCATAAATAAATAAAAAAGTATGATCTCATAGTAATTCTCAAACACTGCTGGGTTCCAGCTGCATCAATCAAAGTGTTTAAAAAGATAAAGAGTGCCTACAGTTTGCAATCAGTGTATTATAACCTGTTTTATTTCATATGACTTGCATGACAAGATATCAAATCCCCTCTCATTTGGTTAACAAGAATATTTGCTGCACAATTAATGTTGTCTTATTGAAAAAAGTGCACCCAATAAAAACATCTGCAGATGCAAAGCAAAAGAAAAGCACCACGAAAAACGTGTTTTCTTTTTATGCCTTGCAATTGCCTCACAATTGCAGAGAGAGATTCCCGATAACTAAACAATAAAACCCTTAAGTGACAGAAGTTGTTGTGTTTGAAAGCCCTGTGGACACATCAGCACATTGGCATAACATGCAGCTTCACTCTTTCAGTAAATTTCCATCTGTATAATTATGATCAAGCTGCAAAGGAGGTGTGTTACCCACACAAAAGACAGACAAAAATATTCCAGAAATCACAGGGCTTCAATTTATAGCTTGTGACACATGCATTGTCTGGCATGTGACTCTCATCTGTAAAATGATGAGCTAACATCCTGAAAGTTTGGTTTCCTTTCTTTTACATTATTTTCATTAAAAATGGCTGGAAAAGGTTTTAGGAGTTTGTTCCGAAATGTATAAAGCCAAATTTGTTCAATGGAAAGCTACATGCTCTAAGCTTTGCTGCTTTTTGAAAATATAAAAACTGGCATGTCCACTTCTTTTAGCATGTATTAGCCAATACATGTCATTGCTTCAATCAACTGAATTCCTAAAGCTACATTTAGCTACATGGATAAATCACCTGGGTCAAAATGTCAGGATAAGGCTCAAGGTCAACCTGCTTTCTACATACAGCAAGGCCAGTGTAAAGCTAGCATGACCTAATGTTACAATACTCAAGGTGAAATAATACCAAAATGTTTGTCTATTTCCAGCATTTACTCAGCCAATACAGTGGCACTGAAGAATAAGTCGGGCAGATGAAAACAACATTCATCAAAGCTATAATTACATGAGTAATGGAAAACAGCGTTTTTTCGTCTGTTTTCCGAAAACAGCTGAAAAAGCAGGAGTAACTTCCAAAGAAAAGGTGTGCCAAGCTTATAGGATCATTACCAAGAAGACCTGAGGCCCTCATTGCTGCCAAAGGTTGACTTCTTACTTGTCATTTAAATAATTGGTTCATGTACCATCAACAAGCTCTCCCTGTGTGAAATAACCACATTAACCTAGCATATTCCTATCTCTGCATCCAGTGCTGTTTAAATATGGTAAAGTTGGCCTACATTTTCTATGCCTGAAGAAATATGGCCTTGATTCAAATTTAGGCTGCACCTCCTCTCCACCTACGAGCTCTTTCAAACGCAGGGATGACAGTTTTACTAGAACAGGCTTATCCCAGCTACAACACACGGTGTGTTAGTGAGCTGTTTTCAGTACCACCCAAGAAAAAGGGAGGTGGTACGGCTAATTTCACTGATTCAATCAGACAACATAACTGCTGTTGTAGCAACATCATTTGTGGTTAAAGCTGCAATATGGAATTTAAAGATTTCTATCTGAAAGGGAAAAGTTTAATCACAACTACTTGATTGTGTGGAAGTTAATTTCCTTTCAAAGCATGTTCAACAAACAAAATCAGCCCAAAAAAAAAAAGAGAAAGAAATGAGAACGGCAAGCTTGGAAGGAAGGAAGAGGCTTTATTTAGCACCCATATTATCAGTTACTCATTTCTTTTTTTTTTAAAAGTTCATTCATTCATTCAGGGTTTCATCTGTAGCGTAGTAACTAAATGGCTGGGCCTTTCTGTATAGAATTTTCATGTTCTGTGGGTGCTCTGGTTTCCTCCCATATTCCAAATAGATGCAGTTAGTAGAGCAGGGCGATATGGCCAAAGATATTTATCACGATATATATTTGAAAATTTGCGATAACGATATAACTGACGATATAATTGATGCGAGACAAAATACAACTCCACAACATTACTAGCGCAAAAAGACAACCTTCCATTTATTTTCACTTAAACAAGAAGCTGGTTTTTATGTACATTAAAGCTTTATAAAAATGTAACAGTGCAAATGCAAATTCCTTGCTGAAAGTTTAACCAAAAGGCATTTCCAGTAGAAATGGGCTGACATATCCTGAGCATAACCATGTATAATATCCACTGAAGTTAAAAAGAGGTGCTTTGCAACATTAAACTGCAGTGTGCAGTACGTATTTTTCGGACCATAAGGTGCACGGGATTATAAGGCACATTAAGCGAAACAAAGCAGTCAGATAAATCAAACTTTATTAACTCATTCTTCTTGCTTCCTCCACTTCTGTACCATTGATTCATTAATGTTGAATTCTCTGGCAGCTGCTCTATTCCCATGTTGTTGCAGTATATTAATGACTAACCTCGTATTGTGGATGGATTATCTCAGTTGTTCTCCTGACTGAAGTTTGGTCCGTTTACAGCATCCTGCCATGCGATTGCATTTGTCTCTAACCATGAGGAACCTTCACGTTAACTTTTATAAGTGGAAAAGTGTTAGTGTTCGTCCTCCAGCTTCACTGTTTATGTTATGCTAACATAGCTGTGTCGCTAGCGATCACGTAGCACATCATTATATACCAGCTAGCCCAACTTCAGTAACCCTACAAACGTCACTGCTGTTTAGTTTCCTGTCTTCATTTATGTTGGAAGTGATAGCAGAGCTGTACGTTTGATTTTTTTCAGAAATCTCTCAGTGCTATATCATGCTTAGGTAACTAGCGAAACTAGCGAGCTAACTTCCGCTAGCTTCCTGCTAACTTCTAACTCCGTTAAATGTAATAACTTTTGTTTTCATGGATGCCTGGAAGTTAAACTTCATAGTTACACCTGGTAAAGCAGCAATGCTGATCGTTTTATTAAAGATGAAAGAATTTAGACAGTTTTTAACTCTCAGTGATGCTGCAGTGTTCGTTTGACCTGAAGCATACGGAGTTTAGGACCCAGATTACTCCCAGATTTAAGAGCATCTTAGTCCGACAAATACGACAATAACGACGGCCGCTTGCATGTTCTGCAAAAAAATGTGCTTTGTTGTGTATCTGACGGACAAACACCAAACCAGTTCCACATCACTGAAGTTGCACCATTTTTACAAACCAATTCTGGTTCATCTGTTTCACTCAACAATCGGCCATGTGCGTATGAAAACAAAGGCACTGCGCATGCGCGTTTTACTCCCATTCTATCGCGATATTTCATTTTCCTATCGTTGCCTAACATTATACCGGTATTACCGTGAACGGTATAATATGGCCCAGCCCTAGCAGTTAGTGAGGTTAGGTTAACTGGTTATTCTAAATTGAATGTGAGCACATGTAGTTCTCTGTCTGTGTTAGCCCTGTGATAAAATGGCGACCTGTCCGGGTGTTCCTTGTGACCCTAAATGGGATAAAGCGGAAGAAAAAAGATGGATGACTGAATGAAAACAATGCCTTAGATCCCAGTCTCTCCATCCTACAAACTGGTCAGTGACTCTCTGGGAACTACAAATCCCTTGAGATAAAACGTATATTCCTTCACCAAATGGCAAGTGACTGCTGGAACTAACCAGGTATAATTAATCATAAAGAGGTATACGGATTTCACCAAAAAACAAACAAACAAACAAACAAACAAACAAACAAACAAACAAACAAACAAAATAGCAATACGACTCAAAACTATGATATTTACAAGACCAAAAAAACCTCACATTTTAGGAGACAGTTCTGTCTTATGTTGATTACTTTTGCTTGATAATTATTTTGAAGACAAGTGAATATCATAATTTGCGCTGTACAATAGTTGTGTTACTACATTACTATCCCCTCCGTAAATCTGCGTCTAAGCAAAGGAACTAAAATGCACATCAACAAAATGCAAGCTACTGCAAGAACACGGCATCCAGCGCATGATGTAAGAGGTCATAGTCACATGACCTTAGCATGAAGCCAAGCCAGGATAATTCTGTTCATGCACCATTAACTGTCCTGATTTGGTGTGAAATGGAAGCATAAAACATTTATGTTCATTTATTTGGCTCCACAAGTAAAAGACTGCCCACTTACATATGCAATTTTACTGCATACTAAAGCTGAGATAGCAACACTCAATGATTAACTGAAGGCATTTTCTGTGTCAAATAAGAGAGGAATTCCTGTCTAAAGATCATGAAAGAGTGAAAAAGTCACTGCAATGAAGTCACTCAGAAATGCTAATTATTTATTGGCCGAAGCCTCTGAAATGTTTTTTTTTCTTTCTTAATTAATTGACAATGAAAAGCTTTTACATTTTAAACTTCATGTAATTGCATAAATTATTCCAAAATTGCAGCTGTAAATAAAAATACATTTTTACTCCAATTGCAGTGACTAAAAAAAGAAAAAAAAGATAGAACAATGAGAGTCATACATAATCTCATGTTCAGCCATTATTAAAGGCCTGATATTATGTGATTAAAACACTGCAGACATGCTGCGGGTGTAATTACTCACCAAATCCTTCCATGTCAGAAATTAGTATATGTGTTTTACATGCCATCATATGAAACCAAGCCCTTTCACTTCTCCTTATGAAAGCAAAGCTGGTATAGTGATGGAGTGTGTGATAAATCATTTTGTCATGACTGAGGTAGGGATGCACGTCTCGTGGCTTGTTGCTTTATAAAAATGCTTGGCTCTGGAAAATGCTCTGCTGAGGCGGAGTATTTTTGCCATCACTGAACGTATTACATGGAAATTGCAGGGTATTTGCATAAGTAAATGGTTACAAATGCATGCACTAGGGCCCCTAAACCCATCCATGTTGTTCAGAACTGAGCCTTTGTCAAACTGAGGCTATACATTGCATTGCTGTACAGCAGACACATTAAAATATACAATAGAGCTATACTTTGAGATA